GCCTGGCTGTAGCCCACGATTCCTATGCTGACGTCTGCTGCAGGAGATGCTTGGTGACTGGGTCAACCTCATGGGTCATCAGAAAGCTGCGTTCGAAATGCTCACCCGCCTGTTCACGCCGGAGACTATCACCAAGTCAGATTTTCTCTGCAAAGTACTACTGTGGTATGTCCGGTTTGATCTGTTTGTTGGCTTTCAGTCTGGCGGCGAAGCAGTGCTGGGTCGGGAGTGGTACGAGGCTGTACACGAATGCTACGTGCAGAAAGTACGCGACATGCCAGGAGACATTGGAATGAAATACGAAGAGCGTTTTGCGCATTCAAGACTGGTGGCGAAAGACTCGAACGATCTGTTTGCGAGAACAGCCAAAGGTCTTGTCAGTCCCCAAGATTTCATGGCCCAGTTACCGATACTCAGGGAGAGAGTGGAGTCGCTACAAAGGAACATGGGTACAGACTTGACGGATCCCAATCACAAGGTCCACCAGATTCTGGGAACGCCAAAGCCAGAGGACATTGTCAACCCTTACGAGCCGGATGTCCTATGGGGCGGACCGCTTTGGACATCGAACTTCCTGCAGCTGGACACGTGGGGTATCTTGTTCATGTTTACGATCTCGTCTTCTATGGCGTTGAAGCAGCCTCTTGATCCAGAAGTCACTAAAGAAGCATACAAAGCGATACAAGTCTTCGAGGCTATATGCGCATATCCGGAAGCTCCGCCGGGCGCGGTACTGGAGGCACAAGTCAGTTTCGCCATCGCGACTCTGTTCCTGCCGAAAGATCAGAAGACTGTGCAGTGGGTTCGACAGACATTTGCCAGGATTGAAGCATCAGGGTAAGTGGAATCTCTTGCTTGTACGAAGCTGGATGAGTGCAATATGCTTTCCTCCATGCAGACCAGGTACATGAGAAGATTTCGACAAGTCGACTAACACGAGGGGCAGATACATTTATTCCGACATTCTTCGCAATCGTATGCTCGAAGGCATGGGGGTTGGCCCATCGGACTGGTGGCTTCCCAACGACGAAAGCTGCCCGCCTATCATCCGGTCCATCAAAGACTTTATCAAAGACCGCACACAGGCACCCAAGGACCAGGTCTCGGACGATCTACGAGAGATGCGAGGGATCTTCAGCTCCCTGACAATTTCCGATTCGCCGCCCTCGGACAACATGACGGTGACGAGCGCCGACGGCGTGGCTTCAACGTACAATTCTCCAGATTGGCAATCTCCGGGCTACGGAAGCGACCGCAAGTCGTCAAACGCAGAGGCTTGTCCACCGGGGTCACAGCAACAGTACGCTGTGCAGTAGAATGTTTTGGGCGCAAGAAGTATTCGAATCCCTCAGCACGGCTGCGATAAGACGTAAATTGTTGTGTCGGTCAGATGCAATGCCACGTCGGTAGTGCCTACGCCCACGTTGCCCTAGATGACGGCTGGATGCATTGCAATAGAGTGTGTCTGTCGGAAACGCTCTATCAGCCCTGTAGGACGAGCGTCGATCGCCGAGATGGCCTTCCGAGAGGCGGTTTAGTGCTAGGTTGAGGACAGAAGAGGTTTGGCTTGCCTGAAGGCAGTGCTGCCGTGACACACAACATCGCATCTTGGGCCACAGAGAGCGAAGTGGGCTGTAGCCAAAGAGGAAGAAATGAGCGACAGAACAGACACGGCATGTCATGTGGTGTGACGTCTGTCAGCTGCTGGACCGCATGTCAGATCCGACGTCGCATATAGATTGGATTTCCATAGCCCTATCGATGGAGATTCAGGGGAGTAGAGTTTGACAAGATGCACTCGATGGAAAGCTTGTTCACGAGAGATGAGGGGACGCAACTGTTATGTGGACTCGATGTGAGGCACGTGGATGGAGACTAGGCAGGCACACATGCGGTCACAATAGCGCGTGGCGGTTCTATGCGACTTTTGTGATACTAGAATCAAAGGATAGGATACCACTGATGTGGTTGGAGATCAGGTCTGACAAATTGGCATGTGATGGCTGTGAATGCGATGCAAATCTCGAGTTGCTCCGCACGTGCCTCGTTGGTGCAATTTCGGCGTGCCTGCAAAGGATTGAATTTTTGAAGAAGTTGCAAACCCTAGAACCGCTCTAGAATGGATGAACGAAGGCGATGAGATGCTTGTTGAAGCGCTGTGGAGTGTGCATGTGGAGCGTTGGAGATGATCGAAACGGGCCTAGCTAGCGTTGCAGGGATAAGGCGCGACCCTGACAGCGGGCAGCGGAACACATGAAAGTCGGCAGAGGAGAGCGCACCTCGACCACTACCACGACGCCCCGCCACGAGACACAGACAAGCCCGTGACAGCTACCACACGAACCACCCACCATGGATAACCTCGGCAAGATCTCGGCGTTTGGAAAGAACATCTCGTATGCCTGGTCCCGCAGCGACTGCTAGGTGGAAGCCCGCGATATGCTGACATTGCTTTTGCAGCGCCTCCTTCACACCGTGGGCTGCCAGGACGCAGCAGTATGTCAAGGAGCAGGTCGGCAATGTCGAGGACAAGGTACGGCTGGCCCTGTGAGCGTCGCCGGCGCAGTGCTGACACAGACACGGCAGACCCAACTCCCCCCGGACTACATCGAGCTGGAGAAGCGCGTGGATGCGCTGAAGAAGGTGCACACCACGATGCTGCAGGTCACGTACGACACCCGATCCCCGTCGCTGTGCCTGGTCTGACTGTCTAGCTCGCAATACGCCAACGAAGCCTACGACTACCCAGCCAACATCCGCGAGTCCTTCAACGACCTGGGCCGCACCGTCTCGGAGAAGGTCAACCTGCTCTCCAGCGCCACGTCGCCCGCAGAGGCCCAGGCAGCCCTCACTGCCCCTCCCTCCGCGAAGCCCCAGCCCAAGACGTTCAGCCATGCCGTTGCCCGCGCCGCCCTCAACGCCTCGCACATGCTCACGTCGGAGCAAACAAGCTCGAGCGAGGACCCCCTGGCCACGGCGCTCGAGAAGTACGCCATCGCCAGCGAGAAGGTCGGTGAGGCGCGATTGGCGCAGGACGCCCAGATCCAGAGCCGCTTCCTGGCCGGCTGGAGCACCACGCTCAACACCAACATCCAGTTCGCCACACGTGCGCGCAAGGCCGTCGAGAACTCCAGGTTGAGCCTCGATGCCACCAAGGCCAATGCCAAGGGCCCTGCCTTCTCCCTGCCGGGCCAGGCTCCCAAGAAAGACGTCATGGACGACGACATCAGCGAAGACGCCAGAGCCAAGATCGAGCAGGCCGAGGACGAGTTCGTCGGTCAGACTGAGGAGGCTGTCGGCGTCATGAAGAATGTACGACCATACCCCTCACCCTACACCACCTTGTGCTGGGACCCCCGCTAACCTCCGACTAGGTCCTCGACACCCCCGAGCCACTCCGCAACCTCGCCGAACTCATCGCCGCCCAACTCGAATACCACAAGAAGGCCTACGACATCTTGTCCGAGCTAGCTCCCGTCGTCGAGCAGCTGCAGGTGGAACAGGAGGTGCGTAGACATCAGTCTTCCGACTACTAGACTTCTTTGTAGAGGACCCAACTGATGCATTGCATTCATAGGCCAGCTACCGCAGGGCCCGTGAGGAGTTGTAGGACGACTCTGACGCACAAGCCCGAGCGACAGAAGAGGTCCAAGGCAGTGATTAGCTTGGTGCCGCTTCATTGCTTGGACGTGGACTGCCATGAGCTTCGTTGCATTGTGTATCGTCGCGTGATGCATGTCTTGCTTCATATTTTGGTGGTCTAGTCTGTTAACTCATTCAATACCTTCTCTATTCTATACCTGGCGTGTGACGTGATGATCAAACCGACACGTTATTGAATCACACCACTCTCATCCCTAAACTCTGCCGCCTGCCCTCTGGCAAACTCTGCCATCCTCTCCCTTTCCCCCTCCTTCCCCTCCTCATCCTCTTCAGCCGGAACGTACTGCCTCATCACGTCTCTCACATAGCCCTCTGGTACCCCCAACTTGACTGCATCAGCGATCCCCTGATTCATCCTGTAAACATACTCGTCACGCGGCTTATCCGGCGTAACACGATTCCGATCAATGTAAACGAGCATAGACTCTTTTTTCTCCGGATGCTTGCTAGTATCAACCTTGTGCTCTGTGTCTGAAGGCCAGAAATCGCACGTGAGCATCTCCTTTGTGTATGCAACTGGTACGCCCTCGTTTTTATCTAGCCTCTTTTCGTCTTCTGGTAAGAGAGAGTAGACCAGTCCGAATACGACGTCAGAGTAAGAAGACTTGGAGGTCGAGTTTTGCTTGGGTGATTCGACGACGTTCGCGTAGCCGCGGTCGTTGATGATCCAATGGTAGTTGGGCAGGCGGGCGACGCCTAGGTATTTGGATGTTGGGCAGCGGGTGCTCATTTGGTGGAGCCAGAGGTTGGAACCGTAGCCGAAGTAGATTGTGGATGAGGTTTGTGATGTAATGGGCAGCCTGGTGTTCGCCATATTGAGCTGTATTGATGGCCTTTAGGGTCGTTGATGGTAGTGGGATCGTTCTTGATGGCTATAAATTTAGATGATGTGGGGGATATACTGTGCGGCAGACTTGAGCTATTCAAACTCCCCTTGTATCGAGTGTTGGAAAAACGATAGCTGACTGCGGGTTGTGTTCGATTGGCCTCCAAGGTTAAGGTGTGCGTCTACGGTTGGTTCAGAATGGTGGTGAACTAGGCCCGCTTAGGCACAGTTCCGAGGCTCAACGGATGGAACCATGGATGGATGACATGACCCAAATTTTGGAAAGAACCGATACAAAGCTCGCAGAATCCTCTGCGCGACCATTTTCTCAAACGTACAGCTGACTCTTACAGTCGTTACACAGTTCACAGTTTCGCGACTTCACCAGTTGACGGGGTATTGCTCCTCGTTGTCAATTTACTACAGACTTTCGCAGTCTGTGCTGCCTATCTGCTGCACAACGCTACACATCTACACTGTACCAGATCGAACGTGTGCCGGCTACTCGAAAATGCCGTACTCGCATCACAGTCACTCTGGCCAGTTCTGCGGACATGCGCAGAACACACTCGAGGAAGTTATCCAGGCAGCGATAGCCAAAGGTTTCCATACCTTTGCGCTGACGGAGCATATACCTAGACCTCTCGAAGACTTCTATCCCGAAGAGTCCGAATCGCACACCGCAGAGAGCCTCGCGAAACTGTTCGACGCCTTTATCGTCGAAGCCCACAGACTTAGAGACGCGTACTCAGACCAGATGCAGATCCTCATCGGTTTCGAGACGGAATGGATTCGTCCATCGACACTGCAACTCACCCGAAGCATCTTCGACAAGTATACTTTCGACTTCTTCATGGGCTCTGTCCACCACACGCACACCATACCCATCGACTACGACCGTGCCATGTACGAACAAGCTCGGGAAAAGGCAGGCGGGACGGACGAGCGGCTCTTTGAAGATTACTTCGACTCTCAGTACGAAATGCTTCAAGAGCTGCGGCCACCAGTGGTCGGGCACTTCGATCTCATTCGCCTACTTAGCGATCATCGCGATGTTGATTTCAAGGGCATGACTGGTGTTTGGGAAAAGATCAAGCGCAATCTGGAATACGTAGCGTCTTATGGCGCTCTACTGGAGTTGAATTCATCAGGGCTGCGGAAAGGTTTGGCCGAGCCGTATCCGTGCTTGCCCATATGTCAGGTCAGTCACACCGCCATATGCCCGGTCTCGGCGTCAACTTACTAACCTATGTCATAGATGTTCTTAAGCATGGGAGGTGGTTTCGTCATGTCTGATGACAGTCATGGGATTGACCAGATAGGTACAAACTATGCGCGACTATTGGCTTTCGTACAGAAGGCAGGGATAGACCGGATACATTTTGCTGACCGGGCCGGTGAGCGCAAAGACAGCCGCTTCCCCAACGCGGGCTTCTCTAGCATTGCTGTAACCGACCTGGCGCAATTACCCTTCTGGGCCAAGATAGGGTGATATACTCTTCGCGATGGATATACCCTTCGGTAGTTAGAAGCGCCACTGAAACTTTCAGCAAGGAGAGTTTCGGGCCCGAATGCCGGGGCCACACTATCAAGCACCTTCTGTCAACGGTTGGTAGGGTGCCTACATGCAGCGCCCATGGCCTTCGGATATTTAATAGAAGCGAACGCATCCGACGGTTCGGTGACATGCAACTTGCGAGTCCACATCACTAGTCGACTGTGGCTCATGCTGTCTATCACGATACTGTACTCCAGATGCGTGGGGGCTCCTCTTCTCCACGACTCAGCTGCCGCTGCAAGCGCACTCTATCTAGCCAATGCAAAGCGTACGATGCTCCCAGACCACGCTGTTGGGCTCCCGACTCAGCGCACAGGGCTCGCGATCTGAGAAGGGATGGCTGGAGCACGGTTGAAAGACCACGTGTAATGGCCATCGGATTTATTCTTTAGCCCCGCACCCCTTGTGCTTGTGCTTTGTCCCTCTAGTTCAAGTGAATTATTCGTTTGCCGCGAGAAGCACGATAGCCAGCAGTTCCGCATATGGTTATCTCGACGAACCGCTCGAAATACGGTTGTTCTTCGGGTGGGTCTAGCTCCGTACGGCAGCCGGGTGTGTATCCGACGCGTCTGTGATTGGCAAACTATAACAGACTCGAAAGCAGAAACACAGCTAGGTTCTTGGGCCGGCGTGAGACGCAGGGGAAGTGAAAACTACGAGGTACGATAGTCTCCTGATCGTATATTAGGGATGCGGATATAGCGGTAGCATGAAGGAGACGATTAGGTGTGGAAGAGCAGAATGCCGATTAGTGATTGGAAATTTGAAACCGCGGGGTACATCTACCATGAAGGACCGAACATTGCTTTTCGAGAACGGTGTTGCGTATGCACGTCACCCCTGTCCATATCCATATTCAAATCTGTATGACCGCCACCTGCCTCCACGGAGCTGGAAGAGGATCCTACAAGGAGATACTTTTGCGCCCTACACAAGCAGCGTAAAAGCTAGGTCATGCAGGTCCTTATGCATTGCGGTACCAAAGTTTACGCATCGCCCTTTGTCATGAAGGAATGCGGCGGCCGTGTGTTATTCGACAAGACCGAACATTACTGCGTCAGAGGCGCTTTTCCTTTTTGCTTCCATCGTGCGACTCCAAATGAGGTAGGAGCCACGGCCGGCTTATTTGCGCCTTCCGCTTCCTTGGACAAGGTTAAGGTTCTGGCGCCAGCGCCATGCGCACATTGGTGCTAGATGGCTCATGATCGTGGTGACCGTCACCGCACTTCAAGCTTGACCGCACTCTCTTGCGCGCCACCGCCCTGCTTCCTTTCCATTAAAGCGGCTACAAATCAACCCTTGTGTCATCCTATTACCGTCGATAAGAGAGCTAAGCCACTATCGGACATGATTATACCCGTGTTATCACAAAACAAAGATCCGTATCGAAGTTGGCAGGCCGCTCGGTAGTCGCGGGAAACTTTAGTACGGGTACAACCTTCCACCATGTCAATTGTGGATCCCCATCGCGTGTCAGCTGGGATGCTGCAGATGAAGAATGGTTTGGAAGGGCTAGACCAACCTTACTTCTGACATTTCAAAACGGCCTGAGCTTCGGGCAGGATTCCCCGGGAGACACGTTCTGACGGCTGTGGGTCGCACCATACGTAGCCCGCAACTACCTTGGAGCCAAAGAGGTGGAACGTGTGCGTATGCGAAGAGGCTAAAAAGTATGCTTGACGCATCTGAACAGACCAATCTGTTGCACAGCTTCGCGGCAAAACCCTGGTATGCTTTTGGTCAAAGTAAAAGCCATGAAAGTCTGAGCTCCAGTCAGAGCATCTACGGAGCTTCCTACTCCTGGGCCTACACATCGGCACCACTATTAAACTCTAGGGTCCACCCACTTTCTAACGTACTTCCCCATCTTTGCAGATTTCGGATTTCCAAAACAACACGCTATCTTTGATCAGTACCAAAGGAAGTGGATACTCTACATACACTACCTGCCACCTGCTTCCTGCTTCAAGCTTCACCTTTCCCCAAACCGCCCTAGACGCTATCCATGCTCGTTCCCTTCAATATGGGCGTTGAAAAGCTCGTGATCAGACCTGGCAATGGCACAGACTTCCCGAAGAAGCATGACGAGGTGTCTATGGAATACACTGGTGAGATTAGTTACTTAATTCCTCACCGGAGATCAACATCTAACAACAACAACAGGATGGCTATTTGACGATGATGCCCCGGACCACAAAGGCGGACAGTAAGCGAACCGGCAGCGTTCATGCCTTGGACATCGAATAGAGCGCTGTATTGATCGTTCTTCAGATTCGATACTTCCGTAGGTCGCGGTGACCTGATCACTCCTATCGGTGCCGGCCGGGTCATCAAAGGTATGCCCAACCCAACCCGCTCTGCGCTTGGTGCATATGCATTCTACGATTCTGAACGCGCATTTGGCTAAAGCTCATGCACAGGCTGGGATGAGGGCATTTTAGGCTCCGCAGAGGCTTCTCCAATGACGCTGGGAGAGAAGGCGACTTTAATCATAACATCGTACGTAATCCCCACGACGTATCCTTCCGCGTGAGTGTACTATACTAATGATACGTGCGATGCAGTGATTATGCATATGGCACTCGGTAAGTTCGACTTTACAATCTGCACATTCCATGGTCGGGACGGGAACAAGTAAGACGGGACGTTACCGAACCTTGGAAGTACACACGCCACCGTGAACACGAACGCCAGACGGAGCCAAGACTTGGTACGGCTGACGACGTTCCGAAGATCGTTTGAGCCATGCTTCTTCGAATCTCCCGCGCTCCTGGACGTCCATGCCGCAGCAACCGCCAATCTTGTACAACACGAATGTCTGCAGCCTGTTGGCATCGCCGCATCTTTGGACTTCGACGATCTGATCAGACCATGAGGTGCAAGTGCTGACCATGTGGACAACAGTGGCTTTCCTGGACACATCCCGGCCAATGCCAAATTGATCTTGTAGGTGCCCAACTTCATTTTCTTCGTCATTTGGGACACTACAGCGCGCTTGCGACGCCTCATTTATGTGTTACAAGTGTGTGTGTTGTTCCTCCACACAGCGCACAGCTCACATGCTGTTCCTTTCACCTTGTTATCGCGGGATCAGTGCACAGGCTGCAAAGCGGAATGCTAACGCGATGGCAGCGATGTCGAGCTCAAAGCCATCAATGGGAAGAAAGCAGAGGACGCCTGAAATTCGGCACACATCATCGCGCCACCCGCTGGCCACGTTGGTCGACATATACCCCGTTACTACCCGACCACCTGTCCATCCAGCCATTCGTCGCGCTAGTACATTCGTGATCGAGGCCAGCACATACGAGAGCAGGAAACGTCTCATTTGGGCTCAACATTAGCGCTTGTTATGTGGTTTACGCCCTTTCATCAACCATCCTTACTGTGGGAGTCCACGCATGAGCTTTTGTTTTATTTGATCCTTTGGAGTTTGGCGCTTGGTAGAGGTATAAGGGAACAGCAGACTCATTTCAATCACAGCTGTTCAGGTGGAGGAGTCGAAAGACGGTCAAGTTTCGTGTCTAATGTACTATGTCCTTCCACGCGCGTTACCCTTCTGCAGCTCCCAGACTTTCGCATTTCTTTTCTGATACTGCGAGTCACACCGCTCATTGCTTCTGGTAACCTCTTCCGGTGCAGGAAGCGACTCGTGGTAATCTTGCATGTTGGTTCGATCCATATACCCGTTAATCAAAAGCGAGCTTCCTTTCTCATGGTAGAGATCTTCCGATCTCCAATCGTCGTCCCCAAATGAACTTCCAGTATCCTACCGAAGTAATCGTACCGAGTGGTTGATAGTCATGTAGTGGCCCAAACCAGTGGTTCGCCTCGACGCGGGATAATGGTCGGCTGTACACCCACACGGCACGAGCTGGTATTTAAGCCGCACGCCGATATGCCTTCCTTCAACTTCACTGGATAGCAATGCCGATTCTAGAAAGGGTCATTTTTCGGTATGCCGAAAACCAGCAGCATGACTCAGATGGCAATTCTCTCGTTGGCTGGCGGCAGTGGCGGCTTACGCTTAATCCGGCAGATATGGTATGGTGTTACCGGAACCTTGACACTTCGGTGTCGGACTCGACTATCGCGGGAACCACACACCCTCAAACTCTACCGTTGCCCGCCACAAGTGGGGGAAAGCTGCCACATTATTTCTAAGCGAAAGACATCCCACGGAGGGCGCCTCATGTTTGGCCTACTGAGATAACGCATTTGCCTCAAGGGACTGAACCTCTACCCGCAACGGGCCTTGTACATGCTTAGGATCTAGAGCTTGTCTTCCAATCTCGATTCGTATTTCCTAAATTCCGTGATGACATGGGTTATCGACAAGTCACCAACCATGTTGCATCGCATACAGCCGGCGCACGCAACAACGGATCAGGAAGCAAATGTCAACTTTTCTCAAAAGCCTTGTATTTCATGGCAAAACCTCGAAGACCGTACCTAAAGCCTACCGATCACGGGCCGTGGCCGTTCGACCCACCCTTGGACGCTCCCGTGCGCACCGAATGCCGGTACGCCCCCCTACACTAGACACACCCGTAAACAAGATTTTCGGCCAGGCCAACGGTCGTGAGCAAGATGACTGCACGTGAGATGCGTCGTATGCATGTGGCGTCGGTCCCGTGCAGCTGCGTCAGGCATGAGCCTGCATCAAACGTTCGTTCACGTGCGTGGCACGGTTATGGTGCGGGCTGTGACAGGGTCAACGCACGCAGCCTTGGAAGCGTGTCAGCAAGTTAAGCGTGCACGTGAGTTCATCACGTAATTACTGCTCCAGGATGCTGGAAGCCATCATAGCCAGTTCTTGAAAGCAACTCTATGCGATCAACGACCATGGAATGCAAAAAAGCCTGGACACAGCGCATACCTAGGATCATCATCGATCCCAGAACCGCTGCAGATAGAGCGGAGTGATGCAATGG